GAATCCAGCGCCTTTTTTGGGAGGAAAGGAGATAAATGGAGAGAAGCTGTGGCCAAAATCTGGGAGCCTGAGATGGGTTTTCCCCCAGGAGCCGGTTGCAAAATGTGGTCTCGGTGGGGTTGGGAGCAGAGCGCAGCCGGATTCCCAGCCAGCCTCGTGCTGCAGGACAGATGTCTCGCAGGGCAGCATCCCTTTGGCACGTCCAGCACGGGTCCCGATGGACCCAGGGGCGAGGAGGGCCTGCGGAGAAGGAGGGAGCGTGGTGCCTTGCCAGCGCGAGGGGTCTGGTTTAGGAAACCCTTGGCTGGTAAAGCCGGAGCTAATGAGATATCGGGTAGCAGGAGAGCTGGCAGCAGGGATTTCTGTTCCTGCAGGGCTTTAACCCTGCCTGGGGCTTAACCCCACATCCTCAACCCTTTACCACCCCAAAATACAGAGCATGAAAGCCAGGTCAGGGTGGTCTCGGTGCTTTGCAGACCCCGGAGCCCATCCCCAGCCCTCCTCCCTGCCCCGATGTTTCTTCTAAGCGGAGAAAAAAGAAGGGGAGGGGGCTGGGTAATGGCTTTGCAGATGACTAGTCCCCGTGGCTGGTGACACATCAGTGACTTTGTGGCTCATCCAGCAAAGCATCTACATGTCAGGGCTCTCCGTGGTCCCCCGTGTCCCACGGCAGCGTGGGAAGGTGTCCGCACCTTCCTGTATCCCTCGCCGCTGGGTCGATGGCTTTGCTGATGACGCAGGGCTGCTGCGTCTCTGTATGGCCCACCCGGACCCTGCCAGCCTGGTGTCCTAAAGGGTTAAAGTGGCCTTTGGAGGGGCCCTGGTGCTGCTGAGACACGTGTGTCTCCTCCAGCCGGTGCTCTCTGCAGTGTCCTTCAGAAGGGCAGCCCTTCTGAGCATGCCTGCTCCCCCTCGCCGCCTCCTTTCCGACCCCGTGCCTTCTCCTGGGGCTTTTCCAGCACCGCAGCACGCTCAGCATCCAAGCCATGCCGCTGCTCTGTCCCACCCTGCAGCCCAGACAAGCACCCATGGGTCCCCCGGGGCTCCAGCGAGCATCACCCGGGGGGCTTCACCACCCCCTCGCCCAGGCTAACCCCTCATCTACCCCCTTTCAGAAAAAATCATCCAGGGGGTGGAAGCGCTGTCTAATCCCCAGTAAATAATTGTGTGATTTCTCTCTTGGGGCTGCTGCCTGCCTGCTGGAGCCTGCAGCCGCTGTAATAAACTTCTGAAGCCTGGGAGGATGGGGTGTTTTTGTAACCGTTCTCATTTCTTGTGCCTCCTCTCAGCTAACAGGCATCTTCCTGGAAGCAGCCTGGCTTTCCCACAATCCTCCCATGCGTGGGCGCTTGGGAAGCCGGGGTGAAGCCGCAGGAGCATCCCGCTTAACCGTGAACGTGCCGAGCCCTCCCAGCCACGCCGCGTGCTCCCTTCCCTCCTTCCTCCCCGTTTACCGGGCTCCGACTCAAACGTCGACCAAGCCGAGTGCGTGAAGTGGGTTCTCTTCCCTCCTCCTTCGTGTTTCTTTTCCTCCTGTGAAAGGAGGGGACGTTAACCCCAGCCAAATTCAACCTGGAGCTCTAGGAGGATGTGAGGGCTGATGGCAATCCCATCTGCAGGGACTGGCTCGTGGGGACGAGCGTGCGGTGGCTCTGGGAGCCGGGGGGGACCCCATAGTGCTGCTCCCCAGGGCTGGCACACTGTCTCGTGGTGCAGGCTGCCTCTGGCATCGGCATTACATATATATATATAAAAATATTCTTAAAAATTTATTTTATTTTTCATTTATCGCCTCTGAACACCAATATTTCTTAGCACCATGGGGATTGCTCTTACGGCTCCAACTCCGGCAATGTCCCCACGGTGGGAGCCGGGGTGGGAGGTGTAGATGTCTCCCAGACCTGGCCTGGAGCAGGGCAGTGCGTGAAGGCTTCGCCTCCTTTCTTTCACCGTGAGTGTTCTTTTGAAGTGTTTGATTAAAATGTGATTAAAATGTTCTTTCCGCACCGCTTTGAGAGAGGTCTTTAAAATTAGGGGAGCGCTGCCGGAGCTCTAACTAAGCTTGACCTTGGGTCCCGTGCCATATGGAGCGGTATGGCAGCGGCCGGGGTGATGGGAAGGGAGAGAAGTCCTGCATGGGTGGGACGGGGAAATGCCGTCGGGCGGGGAGGGAGGGGACCTTACAGGTGCTGTAGGACACGGCGCCTGTGGTCCTCGGGGCTTTCTGCTGTGGGATGAGGCTGGGCTGAGCAAAGGGGGATGCTCCCTGCTCCCTTTTGCAGTAGGTTCCTAGCACCGGAGCCGCCTCGAGAGCTGCTGTCGGTTTGAGAGCTGCAAATCATCCTCTTCTGGTCTTGAGAGAGGGTTTCCAAATTGCTGTCAGCAGCTCAGGGCGTGGAGATCGCCTCTACTTGAGCCGCAGTTGAAGAAGCATCGCCTCAGGCAAATGCTCTTGTGGGACCCGGCTCATTTTGACAGCAGCGCTCCCCCGGGGTGGGGATGCTGGGTTTGGGTTGGGTGCCCAGCACCCTTCCCTCCGTCTCCCTTCCCTCCGTATCCCTTCAGGCTCTTCCTGCCCAGGCTGAGGATGGAAGCAGATCAGATATGGTGGTTTTTGAGTCATTAGGCAGCAAAGGAGCAGACGCTGCTGGGATGGAGCTTGTATAATGCCAGGCACAGCACCCGGCCCGTGCACCGGGGCTGCGATAACCCAGATACAGCCGAGGAAGGAAAAAAACCACACGTAGGTCAGAGTCCCTCCCAAGCTGTTTGATCGGGAGTAAATATTTACATGGCACTGCATCCGCCAGCAGCCAGGGCCTTGGGAAAAGCAGCCCGGCTCCCCCTTGGTAGGATGGGGATGAACCTTTAGCAGCTGAAATGGGAGCCCTCGCGTTTGCTGGGGCGAGGACCGGCCCTTGCAAAGCCTGGAGACCGAAGACGGCTCGCCGTGCTGGGGCCGCGCTCAGGTGTCTTCGTTCAGCTTCCGCAGCCTCCGAAATACAAGCCTGCTTTGTGCACCTGGGGGAAAAATAATCTGCCTTGCTGCACAACCCAGCAGACACTGGTGGTTCTTGCCACCGCTGAAGTTAGTGGAGGAAAATTCCTGATGTTGCCCTCAATTGTGTGCACTTTGGTAGAAATGTATGTGTGCCCCTGTGCTCAGCACCGGTGAGGCCGCACCTCGAATACTGTGTTCAGTTTTGGGCCCCTCACTACAAGAAGGACGTCGAGGTGCTGGAGCGTGTCCAGAGAAGGGCAACGAGGCTGGTGAGGGGTCTGGAGAACAAGTCTGATGAGGAGAGGCTGAGGGAACTGGG